AGACAGAAGTATTTGTAAGTTTGGCCAGAGTTTGTTTTACACATAGACTTGATAAATGGTTAAATGAATCCCACTTTTTCTTGACTGTGATGCTGATCTTCTTTTATCCTCAATGGCTGAACTTTTTTTCACTTTATTTTCTCCCAAAAAAAGAGTGCCTATTGAATTTGTTCTGAGAGGGCTTCAGAAACTTTTCAAACATCCAGGGACAGCAGCATTATGGTGTGACCACGAGTGTAGCTGATCTATCCATCTCCTATGCTTATGCTGGGTCTGACTGCTGCTTCTAAGGGAAAGCAAAAGAGTCACACAGAGCAAAACATGCAATCATAGAATGGTTTGGGTTTAAAGAGACCTTAAAGACCATCTCATTCCACCTCCTGCCATGGGCAGAGACACCTTCCATTAGACCAGGGTGAGCTGCTGACTTTCCAAAGCCACCTTGTGCAGAAAAGAGCCCAGGAGACAGTGCAGAAGTGATATCAACAGCCATCCCAAAAGCATTTACTGTTGCTGGTCAAACTGCTGCTGTTTTTGCAGCAAGAGGGACTCCAGGTAAATGCAAGCTGTGTTCTTCTCACTCCTTCCTAGCTTTCCAGACCAAAGCACAGCTCCCTTATGTGCTCTGCTGTGTCTCAGCACTGTTCATGAGGGGAGGATGATGAACATGCTCTACTGTTTTACCACAGACCCTCTGGAGACAGGGCAGGAGGAGACAACAAATCCCACACCCTCATGGGAAATATGCATGTTTCCTCATGACTACCTCGAGGTGCATTGGAATGGCTGCAAAAAGAAAAGGACACAGGAATCTTACATTCCTCTCTCCCTGCCATCCCATGGGAAAGGGTTTTTGGGAGGGAACTAATATTTCTAACCTGCCTCGTAGGCAGCTTGAAAATTTTGGATGGACAAAATGCGGCTGAAACTCGGGAAAACTCGTTTGAGACGTAGCTATGATTTCGCAATCAGAAGATAGGACAGCTTTGGCCACCAGCCTTCCTGCTGCAGTGGTACAGCATGGCAGCAATTAAAATACTCATTAAAAATTGTATGAAGAGAAGTGGAAACAGAAATGAACGTATTTCTGTGGGAGCAGAGCATAGGAAGTCAATAAAGACCTTAGGGAAGATGTCTTTTTTATGTTAGGAATGAAATAAATCGCAGTGATTTACAGTTCCATTTATAGATGGTGGTGATAAAATTATTAACACTGCAGCTATAGGGCAAAAATATTTAATAAATATTTCCATTCTCAGTGTGAGAACGAACAGGCTGGTAAATTATATCACAAGAGGAAGATGGACCAGCAGTCCATTATTACTAAATAATTTTAATAGGAGGAAGACGTTAAATATTCTTTCAAGAATACACAATCTTAAATCAACAGGTCCAGTCTCATTCAAGAGCTTTAAAACTGCTGGTAGAGACACTCTGTGGCCTCAGATATCAACTTAAGAGTCAATGGGAGATTACAGAGGCATGTAGAAGTTCTGATCTTGATTTGATTCTGATCTTGATCTGATTTACAGGCAGGTAAATGGGAAACACATTGCCTGTTTAGTTCAGTATTAACCAGTGAGTCAAAAGAGAAGACTGAATGAAGTTACATGTAGGAGATGGTTGAATCCATAAATTACTAACCATGGGATTGTACTGAATGACAGAAGAGAAATTTAATGGTAGAAAAGGCAGAAAACTTTTGTTAATTTTCTAAGAAAATTACAAGTATGTTTGATAGTTATTTCAGTCAAATGTGATAGTGTGGTGACTGAGGGTCACCTGCCAAGACATGGCAGATGGCACACACAAAAGGTACTAACTCAGGAAGTAAATTGTTAGGGGGAACCATTTTCATGACTATTTGGTTCCCACTGCACGTCGCTGATTATTGATGGATCGCTGATGATCTGAGAGGAAATGGGGATCACATTCCATGAATGTCATTTAAACCAAATGCAGATTTACAGGGCCGAGAAAAGAGTTGGGCAGGGAGCAATTCAGCATGAAACTCGTGGTTGCATAATAAGGGACCTTGTCAGGAAAAGCCGAGATCATAAAAAGGATCAGAAGTCAGTGTGGTCCAAGGATGCCAAGACTGAGGCCAGCTTGGACAGGGCTTGGAGCACACTGGTCAAGTAGAAGGTGTCCCTGCCCATGGCAGGGGGTTAGAACTGGGTGATCTTTCAGGTTCCTTCCAACCCAAAACATTCCATGATTCTATGATTCTATATCCACCTCATCTCCCAGTGTAATGAAGAAGCAAAAAGGCTGCAGTATTAATTTTTCCTGTGAAAAGCAAGAGGCAGAGCGTGAGAATAAGGAGTTTTGCCTCTATGGGCAGCATCAATAATAATAAAGGAACAGAAGAATTACAAGATTTGACTTTGCAAATTCAGGAGAGCTGGACTGTGTGAGAGGCTGCACAGCTCCATGAACAGGAGATGATTCCCTGCAAGGAGAGTCTTAAGCAATCTGAAGGAGGGCTGAGATTTGATTTTATCTGTGAGTACTTTCACAGACAATGCTGTTTCCTGCACCTCTCTGCAGTGGATACACTCTGAAAGCTCATCCTTGACAAGTTATGCCTGGAAATGAAGCATGAATTGTGAACACTGAGAGAAATTAACTGTTGAAAAAATGATCATGTCAAATGGTAGAGTGATGTTCCCAGGTCACTTGATTGATTGTCTGCCTTTCCAGGGGGTCCTCAGCAGTCAATCACAGACACCTTGACTTCCTCCAGTTTTTCAATAGCCTGATGTGCACAGGCCACCAGGAGATATGATCTAATGATGCCTTCAGTCTCCAAATAATACCATTTCAATTATTGTCCCAATTTCACCACACTGCATTTCTTATTAAGACCATTTCATTTTTTCTAGAAGCCCCAGATGTATCTCAGAATAACAAATATCTTGTTTTTCATGAAGCTGAAATTTGTGCTGTTTTATCACAATGTATGCAGAACAGTTTGTTAAAACACTATATAGAAGCTTAACAGAAATAAATTTATATATAGAAAAGTAAGTCTAGGGAAAGAGACAATTTACACACAGGGGAGTTGTTTTTTGTGAGAGGAAACCCATGTTTCCCTGTGATTATAAGCAAGAAAACTAAGCATGTTCTATAAAAGTGCATATGGAAAGCACTGAAATTTGGAAATAAAATATTTAATGGGTAGTCCTTATACAAATACTGGCTTTGTTATAAACCTAGGAAATGAGGACTAAGTTATAAGACTTTGTTATAAGATTAAGAAATCAGTGAAGCGATGAAAGCCCCTCCATGCAAAAATAAACCAGGGATCAGGATGGGAAGAATGTGTTCAGCAGGAGTGGATGGAACTGAGTGGGAAAGGCATGTGAGTGCTGTGCATCTCCATTATCATTGAGAGCAGCAGGACCTGGCCAGAGGGGAGTGATAATCAAGGTAGATTTAATCTGATTTTTATATTAAAATTTCTTCCCTTCTTCTTTTTGTTTCAATACTGAAATTAAACTAGGGTTTTGATCCCCCTTATCTTTATTCTGAGGATTGGTATTATCTTTATAGAATTATGCAATCACTGAACAATTTGGATCGGAAGGGACATTAAAGATCATCTTGTTCCATGGACAGGGACATTTTCCACTAGATCAGGTTGGTTCAGCCTGGTCTTGGACACTTTCAGGGATGGGGAAGCCACAGCTTCTCTGGGCAGCTTGTGCCAGGGCCTCACCACCCTCACAGGGAAGAACCTGTGGGGAAGGAAAGCAAACTTTGGGGTAGACATGGATGTTCTCACCACTGAGAACTGCTAACACCAGTAGCAAGCTGGTCATAGTATGAGAAGGCAGAGTTATCAGCTACTTCATACAAAGGGAGGATGATAGAAACCCTTTGAAAAGAGGTCTGAGGTTTCCAGGCTTTGGGATTTTCCCTGCTAGCTCCTGGGAAACACAGCTTGACCTAGGAAGACCTATCCCATGTGCAGTGTGATAAGATGTCTGAGAGTCCCTTCTGTCCAAATGCATTGTAAAGATAGAGACACTGTCATTTTTAGGAGAGGAAATATGAAAGGAGATAATGGGATAAACCATCCTGAGGTGACAGACTGGAATTGCCAGCTCACACATGGAAAGAACAAGGGAGGCATTTGACAGAACAGAAAAGCTTGAGTCAAAACAGAGTTAGAAATGGCTTTTAATGCACTCTGTACTTAGACCACAGAATTCATTGCTTCAAGAAGTCATTGAGACTAAATATCAGAAAGACTTGAAGGATCAGTTCTATATTACTGACAAATCTTATCCAGTTATACTAATAGATGGTAAAAGGGAAATGTTGGCAAGGGGATGAAACCTTATGCTTTGAGGCAAAGCTAACCTCTAATTAGGGATTGAAATGGGGTTTTTATGGGATGGGGAGATCAACTCACATCCAGCTAAGAGGGAGACATTTCTTATGCTGTATTTGGAAGCATCTGGTTTTGAACAGCAGCTGGAAGAGTTTGCAGGATTAAATCAGCCACTGATCTAAACAAGTTGCCAGTTCTTATGTTCCAAAGCCATTTTCCCCTCCCCTCTCTCTGTCAAATGTAGTCTGTAATCTAAAAAGTAACTTAATACAAATTAAGCAGGAATATCCCTTTTCAGCATTTAGTTAGTCAATTAAATTGGGATTTTCCAAGCACAGCTCCCTAGCACTGGAATTGGAGAGATTTTTATGTCTGCCCAGGCTGGCTGGCCTTGCTCAAGTCTGGAAAGACAGACTGTTGTAGAATCAAAAAATGGACCGAACTAATCAGTCCATTACAGGTCTGTAAAGATCTGATAAATCCATAAAGAGAAGTACAGGGAAAGTTGGAAATTTGGCAGGACACAATAGTATTTTAGCCCTAATCTTGTAATTTTGTTGCAAATGAATTTATTTACCCCACCTCTTACAGCTCCTTTGGCTGTGAGATAATGACTGGCTATTCCTCCTGTGGTTGTATTTTGTTCTTCTCTTGCCTTCAGGTGGCAAACTCTTGTTTATTGGGCCTGGACCTGTGGAACTACATGCTCATTACATCCTGGTGTCTGATGGAGGAGAGCTCCAGGTGGGATCCCCTGAGGTCCCTTTCCCTCACGAAGCACAAATCCATCTCTATGGGAGCATCCATTCTCCACCAGTATTTCCATATGGAGTCAAGTTCCTGGCAGTGAGGAATGGGACACTTTCCATTCATGGTGAGTGCATTTTTTTTCTCATCAAAAGCAAAGCACAAACGAACAAGAGAAAAGAAAAAAAAGGATAAAAAAAAAAGGGGGAAAAAAGAAAAAAGTTTTTGGAGGAAAAATTAAATGACAAAACAACTTGAGTCACAAACTTAATTTCTAATTAAATATTTGCTGATATGTGGTTTTTAGACCAGAACTTTATATCTTTGTATTTGCCATGAGACACCTATTTCTGAAGTATTTATGCATGAAAGCTCAGTTCTGTGTGTCCATACAAATTCCCATACTGGGAGCTGAGTCATTTTGAAAATCCGGTCCCCAAGAAGAAGAGGATGGTACCAAGCAGTCACTTAGATACCTAGAAGATTTTTGATTTGTGTATGTCTCTCCACAAATTAATGTCTTCATCCCTTGGAAACTGATCCTGGAATCTCTGTTGTGAACTGTCTGCAATTGCTGTGCTGCTAGAATGGCATATCCCTCTCCCCTCCTCCCTCTCCATAACAAGTTTCCTTCCCAGAGAAGGTATGACTCTTGGGGTTTCCAAGAGAGTGTGATCTGCCAGGTAGATCCCATGGTGAGGACAATGCCAAACATGCCACAGTAGCCTGGGACAGCTGGAGTTGAGAAGATACTTCTCAAACATCAGCAAAGGGCCCCTGGCAGTGTGTTTTCCCATCCTCCATCTCTCTATGCTGTGCTGGCATCCCAAAGCCTGTCTCTAGAATTAGGAGCACAGCTGGAATATCTCTGTTTTCCTGGTGGTCCATATGGCCTCATTTGCTCAGCACAGACTGTGGTCAGAAATGACAAGTCCAGGCCAGGCCTACAAAGAAAACTGTGGCAATGCCAAGAATTTCAGTCCCAGGTGACAAGTCCTTTGCTCTGGACCAAGTCCAACCACTGGACCTTAGAATCATAGAATGGCTTGGGTTGGAAGGAACCTTACAGCTCATTTCATTCCAATCCCTTGCTGTGGGCAGGGACATTTTCCACTATCCCAGGTTGCTCCAAGCCCCATCCAACCTGGCCTTGGACACTTCCAGGGATGGGGCAGCCACAGCTTCTCTGGGCAACCTGTGCTGGGACCTTACCAAGGTACAACCAAGAATTTCTTCTAACCCTGCCCTCTGTCAGTTTGAAGCCATTTCCCCTTGTCCTGTCCCTCCAGGCCCTTGTCCCAAATTCCTCTCCAGTTCTCCTGGAGCCCCTTTAGGCATTGGAAGGGGCTCTCAGGTCTTCCTGGAGACTTCTCCAGTTGAACACCCCCAGCTCTCCCAGCCTGGCTCCAGAACAGAGGAGCTCCAGCCAGAGCATTCCCATGGCCTCCTCTGGACTCACTCCAACAGCTCCACATCCTTCCTGTATTGTGCCATAGAATTATTTAGATACAGAGCTTTTTTTTTTTTTTTTTTTTTGGAAGGCTATGAAATACAGGTATAAAAATGTCCATTGCTTGTCTCAGCAGGTTGGGTATGGAATTCAGGTCCAAACTCAGCATGAATCAGAACATTAGTGCTGTACATTCATGCCAAGCTCTTAACTACTGGGCTGGTTTTAAAATCATGTGTCACAGGGGAGAGGAAGAAAACCCAAAACACAGTGAATGTCTCATCTCCCTTCCTCATGTTCTTGTGTGTCAAACTTTGTGTTGGTAGGCATTTGTACCCTCCAGCAGGGCTTGAACTTATACCCTCTGTCCTGCAGGCAGAGATGTTGCTGTCTGAGCATCACTGACAGGTATGGCTCTGGGTCAGAAATGATGTCAGACACCAAGGGGGACAGTTTGAGCACAGACAGGGAGGGAGCTGTGCCACTGTGCCATGATCCTGTCAGCTCGCAGGAGCCCGGCAATGTCAGGAGAGCTCGGGTGTTGCAGGGGGGTCAGTGAACAGATTCTTTTGTGAAGCAGGAGAGATGAGCAGAGGGTGGGGAAGGTGCTCCTGACAGGGGCAAGGGAGCTGGGCTGGCAGGTGCTCTTGACCACTTCATTTAGACATGGCAAGGCTAAATCACTTAGGGATTTAATAATTCCAGTAAAATGGCTTTGCAGAGGGTTTCTATCCCATTTCCTGGAGGATATCCCTGAGAAGGGCTATTAGACCATCCAGGCTGAATTGACTGTCCGTCACCAGCCATTGAGTTTCATGCAGTTATCCCAGCCCTGAGTTCAGTGACTCCTGTTAGATTAAAGCATGCCTTCCAGAAAGGCTTGGTCTTTGAGGACATCAAGGGAAACAGAAGCCAGCTTTTTTCGTGGAGACTTGTTCCAGGGGATTAATTTGGTTAATCATCCATATTTTTTTTTCTTTTTAAAGAAAAGTATTGAAGTGTCTGATTTGAATTTGCCTGATAACAGCTTTTGCTACTTCACTTTCTATGTCTTCTGCTACTTTAAAATATTCTTCTATTCTTGTTTTGACCCCTGTAAGTCAGGATTTTGTCCTTAAATTGTCATCACTTTATATCACGAGCCTTCACTACTTCATGCTGTTTTGTTTTCTGGCAATGTAGGAAAATCCAGTAGCAACTCCTTGCAGCTGTGCCTCCTGTGCTATTTCTCCTTTCCTTTCTGAGCCTGTATCATCACAGACTTGTTGACTCCATCACTGACAAAATCAAAGACAGAAAGTCAAAGACAGACGAAAAACAGAACCACATTTTGCAGTCTTACCTTGGCAACGTGATGGAGGGATGTAAACCCAAATGTCCACATCAGTACCTTTGGGTCTTTTCTAACTGGTATTTCATGTTTCACTCAGTGCCGTAATTCCCAAAGATTCTTCATTCCCTAGGAACCAGAAAGGTGAGGTCTGCAACCCAAGTATTACCTGGATGGAGGTAGGTGGAGCCAAAGGTGGCTTGACTCATTAGTGGAAACATCTCTTTGTTTCAATTTCTTATCAATTACTGCATTATTGAATGGTTTGGGTTGGAAGGGATCCTAAAGCCTATCTAGTCTACCACCTCTGCCATGGGCAGGGACATTTTCCACTAAACCAGGTTGCTTCAAGCCTTGTCCAGCCTGGTCATGAACAATTCCAGGGATGGGGCAGCCACAGCTTCTCTGGGCAACCTGTGCCAGGGACTCACCACCCTTACAGAAAAGAAATTCTTCCCAGTATCCCGTCTAACCCTACCTTCTGGCAAGGGAAAGCCATTCACTCTTGTCCTGTCCCTCCATCCCTTGTCCAAAGTCCCTCTCTAGCTCTCTTGGAACTTCTTTGGGCACTGGAAAGGGTCCCTAAGTTCTCCCCAGAGCCTTCTTTTCTTCAGGCTGGACACCCCCAACTCTCACTCTATTATTATTCAACCCAATTCTTAGTCAAGAATTCTTATCAATTTCTTATTCAACAAATCCAGACTGGCTATGCAATCACTTTTAAGCTCTGCACCACACACAGTCCCAGTGCATGGCTGCAATTAAGGTTCATTCAAACCATGTAATCTGCAATTTAACATTGAAGCAGTAGAAGCCTGTTAGAAAACAAGACAAAAAGTAGTGTGATCTTTTGCTGGGCTCATATTGCTTACATGGAAAAAAAAATCTGCTGTTCTGTCTCCAATTTAGCACCAGTCTGGTCTGTGGTATAGAACAAATTGTTGAGCATGACAGCCCCTTTCATATATATATGAGAGGGCCTGACATGCTCAGCAATATACATTTGAGAAATACATTTATAAACACGAACATATATGTTATCTCAGATCAAAATCATTAAATAAGCAGGTTTCCAAATTCTCAGCTGTCTTGGTGAAGACAGGACCGAGCGAATTTTAATTCCTTTTCTCTCTTTCAGCCCGGGAAGGCTGGGGGATGCTCTGGTTGACTTCAGATTGTTTAGTAAGCGCTGTCAGCTCCTCGCTTTGATATGTTAATATGACTCAGGGTTTCCCACAATTCCCTCATGAGTGGCAGTCCTTTGCTCCGGTAGTTGTAGCAGACTGGGAAATTTCACTGTTGCCTTTGGCTTTAGCCAACTCCCCTGCCAGTCAGAGCGTGCCACCCATAAACTGCCTGTCAATCACACGTCAGGTTTAAAGGGGGTTTCAGTCAGCCAGGGCAACTCGACTTTTTGACAATGTAATTATGGCCCTCGCATCCGCGGTAGGGGCCTGAGCGGGGCTGAGAGAATTTTATTGATTGTTCAGAAGGGAAATTTATCACTGTCTCCAGCTCCATTCGTACTTTATTCCCTGTGAAACTCTCCTGACAAGCTGCAGGAGAGAAGTTTAGCATGGCGGCCTTGGCTGTTCTTGCATCTTTGTCCTTTGCGGGGAAACTGGACCAGAGGCACAGGGGGATGCTGAGCTGGGGGCAGGGACTGGGTGAAAAGGCAGAGGAAGTGGAGCTGATGCATCAACAGCTGAGGACAGACTACCCCGTCTTTGTGACAGCCCAGTTTTGTGGTCTGAACATTCCTAGGATCATAGGATCCTAGAATGGTTTGTGCTGGAAGGGACATCTTGTTCCAAACCCCTGCCATGGGCTGGGACACCTTCCACTAGAGCAGGCTGCTCCAAGCCTTATCCAGCCTGACCTTGGATACTTCCAGGGATGGGGCACCCAAAGAGTTTCTGGGCACTCTGTGCCAGAGCCTCACCACCCTCACAGTAAAGAGTTTCTTTCCAGTATCCCATCTAACCCTGCCCTCCTTCATCTTAAGATAATTTCCTCTTGTCCTGTCTTCATGCTGGTGTCTGAAGTCCCTCTCCAGCTCTCTTAGAGCCCCTTTAGGCACTGGAAGGGGCTTTAAGGTCTCCCTGGAGCCTTCTCTTTTCTGGGCTGAACAGCCCCAGCTCTCTCATCCTGTCTCCAAAGCAGAGGTATTACCACATATGGAAAAACTTTAAAGGCCTTTTCCATTCAGCTCCATTTTTAGCAGTCCTGTGTAGATGATCTCACTATTCCATTATGTCCCCTCAAAACAAACTGTGCCTGCTCCCAAAAGAAGACCAGCACTCTTGCTGTGTATTGATCTGAAACTTTGTCTGTGCCACCACTGTGA